ATTTTGCATAAGCTGCCCACAGTACCATTAGATGTTAATCCGTTCATTCATAACCACAGAGTGTGGTGGTAGGGTCATGCATGTAACTTCTGCCTCTAGCCCTGCGGATTTATTCAGTGCTTAGCCCTAGTTCCCGCAGCTGTGTCTTTTCAATGACTGCTTTATGGTGGCCAAGAGAGTTGAGGTCGGCTGCCAGGACTCTAAGATCTGGAGGAACACATGGACACATTATTCTTTCACTCTGAAGCTATCCAATCCCTGTTCCGGTCAGATGGGAAGATAGAGAGAGGATATCTGTGAAGCAGCCCAGCACTTATTGCTGATGATATTACTCATGTCTGACATTATTGCAAGACAGCAGGCTTAAATCTACCCTCAGTGTGTTCTTCAGTGCAAGGTTAATTACTAACGAAAGTGTAATAATATAAAACATAATTCTGAGTCTAGCTCCTAGCTTTATTTGTAAGAACTACTATGGAGCCATTATTTTCTTTACTCTAAGACTACACATTGGATCCAGTCTGCTTCAAACAAGAGGCCAAGAAAGACGGGTTACTATGCTAACTGAATACTAATGAGGCTTTTGCTTAAGTTGGTTTTTGTATTTACGTAGAAGGGGAAAAAAATACTGTACCTCAAAGGTAGCAAGATTCTTACTGAATATTTGAGGAATATTTGGAGGAGAATATCTTGCCACTTCTTTTGTACTTGTAACATTTATAAAGTGTTTTGTTCAGCACTATGGAAAAGCAAAATATCATCATCATTATTACTGGCCTTTGTCCACAGTGGATTTCATCCAGATTCTAACCAATGACTCTGTGACTAACAATCTGAGTCACTAAGTTTCAGATGTTTTTGTATTTCAACACAATTCCCAAGCTGAAAGATTTTATTTATTTTCGTGAAATAGAATTAAATGCCCTTCTGTATTTCTAATCTAGTATCACTGGGTGATGGGCTAGAGCTAAGTTAGTGGATAGATTGAATTGTTCCTTCAATAACAGATTTATATTGGCAAAGAATTAATTACCAAAATGTCAAAAGTATAATATGCATTTCCAGGACAAAAGTCTTCACCCTGGCAGATAATTCAATTAATTATAAATATCTGTGGTTTTGCCATGGTAGTGGCACAAGATAATTTCAGAATTTCAAATGCAGAGAATCTACAACTAAAGAGCTGTCAAAGATCAGGGGAATGAACACACCCGAAAACAGGAACCTGAAAGAATGGACAAAAGACAGGGGCATTCGATTGGGAGAAGGCTGGGATTAGAGTTTGAAAGAGAATGACAGAAATATGCAAGTAAATTTACTAGCTATTAACTTTGCAAAGATGCACATCTTTATTCTTACAGCTCCTTCAAAGGAATATTTGAAAATGGACAATCTGAGCTAAAATATCCATTTTTTTAATGGAAAATTCCATTATTTTAATTATTTTCCTATTTTTTCTGTGTCCATTCTCATACCAGTCCCAGATTGTCCCTACACTATAACTATCCCTACTGGTCACCTTACATCAATCTAATGGAAAATTCCATTATTTTAATTATTTTCCTATTTTTTCTGTGTCCATTTTCATACCAGTCCCAGATTGTCCCTACACTATAACTATCCCTACTGGTCACCTTACATCAATCCTAAAAGGCCCTGTCATTTTCACATGGAATAACTTTACAGACATTTAGTCATACATTTTCACAGCATCTCAGATTAATAATACCTTACACTTTTATAGCATTTTTCAAAAGATTCTCTTGCATGTTATATCATGTTAATATCATCATCATATGCAGTAGAGAAGAAATGTATTGCCCCTTTTTACAATGAAAAAACTGAAGCTTATTACAGTGATGGAATTGGTTTAGACTCATTGGCTAAAGTCATATAGATTGTTACTAGAAAAATCAGAATCCTAGTCCAAAGCTCTTCCACTACACATGTAACAGAAATCTGAAGTTTAGAAAGAATTTTTGCCTTAAATCCTCATAATGCAAAATTAAGAATAAAGCCTGGACAAATGAGTTGTTATTCCTGGATACTGGTCTTTGCAAATACTATTTCTGATATCAAGTATTATATTGTGTTACATTAACAATGTCCAAAGTATCAAACTGTAATCGGACCACACAAAATATTATCAGAATATACAAAGATCATAAGCAAAATGAATTTGACTTAAAAAAAACTATCTGTTCATCATTCTGTAGTCTTTACAGCACGTCCTACATAGGTCTACGTAGGATGTTCTTGAGTGTGCATCCATAAGATTCCTGCTGTCTTTCAGCAAGTTTCAAGTTTTTGTTGTGAACCTTTTGGGTTTTATATCTAAACTAATGGCTTTTCTAAGGGAAAAAGATTAATCTACCATTTCTGTTACATCTTCCACAGTGCCTTTGCTGGAACCACAGTTGTTGCTTTTTAACTTCTACATAGCAACTACTTCTGTGACATATTTTGAAGTCCCTTGGTCCCCGACTCTGGCCATGCACCTCCACTGAGCCTCTTATGGCTAAGTTTGATACTGAAGCAGTAAGAAAGTCAACTGCTGTACTTTTAAAGCCCAGCCCCTGAAACCACTCACATCACAATCATATGTCAGTCTTTGAGCAGAGCAAAATTCTGGGTCCCACCATAAGATCTTCTCCACCATAACCTCTGGAGCCAAAGGTGGCCCGTGAAACTGCATTAACCAGCTCTCCAAGAAAGTCTTGTGAACTCTAATCTCTGATCATCACCACAATGATAGCACTTTTCAGTTACTGGAAATTTTAGTGACATTGATTGTGAATACGGTTCCTGGACCTGGTCTTTGAAAATGAAAATAGAAGATCATTCTCTGCCTTAGGAAAAGAGGAGAGAGGTAGACTACAGAAACGGCTCAAAACAAGGACGTCGGACAATTAGAGAGAAAATGTTTGCCTGTACACTATTCACGTGAGCCGGCCAGCAAGCACGGTGCCTAACCTCAGGGATCCTGGAGCTGTCTTCTTTGCACTGCGGGGACATTTAGGAGAGACATTAACAGCCAGCCCTGCAGAGCGTGGCCAGGGCACCGCGTCTGAATGACTAATATTTTTCCAACCTAGAGCGACATTAAGAGATTGGAACTATTTCCCCCTCAAACCAGGAGAAACCAGGCTTCCTCTACCCGCTGTGTGCCACAGCCCGAAGATTAACAAAATAGTCTTTTGAAAAAGTCTGAGTCAAGAAAATTGTGTGCTTCAAATTCGAAATGAGGGTGTGTGAAGAGTGGCGAGCTGTCAGGGACCAGGGGGAGGACTGCACATAAAGGAAAAAGGGACGCTGGAGGAATGGACAAAGGACCGGGCATTCGGCTGGGAGAAGGCGGGGATTGGGGTTGGATTGAACAAGATTCATCAGGAAGGATTTCCAACCAGAGGACAGAGATTGCTTTAAGCTGCGTCGTGAAACAATGCAACTCTGGCCACAGGTTCTTACAAAAGCGGTAAAGCAGAGAATGTGTAAAAACCTCGTCTTCCCCTCCTCTGAACGCAGTTAAGGAAAGGCCCTGTCCTCAAAGCGGGGACGGTCGCACGCAAACACAGCCGTGGGGGTCTTTTGTGGAAACACGCCGGGATCCGTTTCGTCCACAGCGATGCTTCGAGAACACGCTGCCTCCTAGCAGGCTCTTTCGGGCATTTACTTGGGATAAGCAAGCGCATCAAACGGGCAGGGCGGCGTCCCCGAGACTGTCAGCCCGCGGGCTGCGTGGGAC